ATTTTTAGTAATATTAATATTATGATTGTGTATATCAGCTGGGTTACAATTGGACTGTTATCTGGTGTTGTACAGTTATTTGTTGTGTTTGTACTCATACAATTGTTTTGATCTGATGATTTAGTATGGTGGTAATTGGTGTTGTCTTTGATCTAAGGCGTTGTTTAAATTTGTAATTCTTTTCATTATATCTTTCCAAAGATTTTTTTCAAGAATTTGTTGATATGGTTGCACATTATTCAAAATATTATGGCTAGACATTTGAAAATAACGAATAAGAGGTAAACAACTTTGTAGAGTAGTCTTTAAGGCAAGAAAATTTTCATAGGTCCAATTTTCGGGGTCTGACGGTAAGTCAGGGTTTTGAGCAATTCCCCATTGGATAACACGATCCCAAATTTTTACTTCTTCCATTTGTAAATCATCTCGACTAATAAGAGATATTAATGCGTTTTCTTGAAGTGAAACGAAATCTTCGGAATCAAAAATCTTGTCAGGATATTTTACTACAATATCATTACACCATTTTTGTAATGCTTGAAGCTTATTATTCTGAAAACTTTTTTGATAAATAGAAGTAAAATGTAGACGAAGCCAATGTGCTTCCACTTCAATTAAATGAGTTTCAAGACGTTTAGTTAGTTCATCGAAAAGAAATTCATGAGCAATAAGCATAAGCTCAAAAATAAAAGATGCATTATGGCTTTCAAGCAAGACAATTCCTCCGTAGATATATATTTGCATAAAATTAATTTATAATTTAGTTTTTATAAAATAATGTATAAATTTTCATAATTTTCATTCGTGTATAAAATAGCTTTACCTGATAATGATTTCGAATTGCTGTTTAGTAACATGTTTCAAATCAAGAGTTTTAATATTATTCTTATCTTTGCTGATATTTGCTAATTTATTTCGAAAATATAAAGATCTATATTTTACAATTGCTGAATGTGCTTGAAATGTTTTGGTGTTGGGAGATTCGCCAACACTAATATTTACATTAAAATCTTCTTTGTCATCAAGAAGTTCGAGATAATTGTTTGAAAGTGTTTCGAAAAATTTTAGCGCCATTTAAATATATGCAAGAACTTTAACTACTAAGTCTATCGCTATTAAATTTTTGTAAAAGTTTAATTCAAATATATAAATACTGTATGCGACTTTTCTGTCGTGTAATATTACATACGGCTCAGATGCAGCTCAGCGCGTACCGGCACCCTGGGAAATCCGCCGACGATCTACACCGTGCGACAAACAAGGATATCACGCCTTAGCCGAAATGATTATCAGAATAAGATTACCAAATCAGGGCATATTATACCTTATCTAC